GTAAACAAACAGAAATCCTCAATATCACTGCTGAAAACACAAAGAAATCCTCAATATCACTGCCGAAAACACACAGAAATCCTTAAAATCATTGCCGAAAACACACAGAAATCCGCCTCAATTTTGCTGCCGAAAACACACAGAGATCCTCAATATCACTGCTAGTGCCAAAAACACACAGAAGTCCTCAATATCATTGCCGAAAACACTCATAAATCCACAATATTACTGCCGAAAACACATAGAAATCCTCAATATCACTGCTGAAAACACAGAAATCCTCAATATCACTGTCAAAAACACACAGAAATCCTCAATATCACTGCCTAAAACACACAGAAATCCTCAATATCACTGCCGAAAACACACAGAAATCCACAATATCACTGCTGAAAACACAGAAATCCTCAATATCCATGCCGAAAGGACACAGAAATCCTTAATTGATCTCTTAAAAGCACACAGAAATCCTCAATATCACTCTTTAAAACACACAGAAATCCTCAATTTCACTGTCAAAAACAAACAGTAATCATCAATATCACTGCCGAAAACACATAGAAATCCTCAATATCACTGTCGAAAACACACAGAAAACCTCAATATCACTGTCAAAAACACACAGAAATCCTCAATATCACCGTCGAAATTAAACAGAAATCCTCAATATCACTGTCAAAAACACACAGAAATCCTCAATATCACTGTTGAAAACACACAGAAATCCTCAATATGCCTGCCGAAAACACACAGAAATACTCTTAAAAATTTGAAAAATATGGGAGGAACCATGCCCCTGGACGGGGTTAGTGTGATGTCAGCCCTAAAGCTGTTAGAATTTGTTAAAAGATCTCTGCATTACTTCTAATGACTGGCCATTGGCAATATATTTGAAAGCAAATTTCAATTTTTGACACAAAACCACAGGTCGTTTGTAGTCATTGGCGTCACCTTTCACTATCTAATACACCCACTACAGTGAGCAATAGTGGTACTAATCCCATTGATAGATTTTCAGGTCACCTGAGACAAAGTCTCAAGTGACCTATTGCGATTGCCTTTTGTCCATCGTCGTCCGTCGTCCGTCGTTCGTCGTTCGTCGTCCGTCGTCCGTCCGTAAACAATTTACATTTTCGACTTCTTCTCCAAAACCCCTGAACCAATTTCAATGAAATTGTGCAGGGACCTTCCATGGACAAAGGTCAACAAAAATAGTTGCCGGTTTAGTCCTACGCCCCCAGGGGCCTGAGGGGCGGGGCCAAAAGGGGTCAAATTGACTAAAATTTCAAAAATCTTCTTCTCCAAAACCCCTGAACCAATTGCAATGAAATTTTGCAGGGACCTTCCATGGACAAAGGTCAACAAAAATAGTTGC